AGAGTCCAGCCCGACCCCAGCACGGCCGGCCGAGAGTCCAGTCCGACCCCAGCGCGGCCGGCCGAGAGTCCAGTCCGACCCCAGCGCGGCCGGTCGAGAGTTCAGCTCCGTCAAAGCCCAGCTTGGCGAAGCAGTCGGGCCACAAATGATAACTCTAAAAAGTGCCGACTGCCGAGACTCCGGCCTCCCAAACGCTCAGGCGGACGGGCGGACGGTAAGCCCCACGGTCCGGCCGGACGAGAGCACAGGTGGACGGATGTTTCGATGGCCAATCTGCTCGACTGTAACGTGCGGTGAGCTCTCAGAACTAACGGGAGATGCTGTTCGTGCGTAACGGTAGAGGCCTTCGGTTGCCGCGCTCGCCAGAAGCAGCGCGGCAGCTGATGGTGACGTGAGCCCGGACATTTGGCATCCGCGGCTTCGGCGGCCCCGGATCTCCATGTTTTTCATCACCGCTCTCGGCCACAGGTTTGGTAACGGGTGCGACATGCCGAACATAGGTACCAGTACCACTCGGTAACCGGCTTGGCAACGAATGATGCACGCGATTGGCCACCATTTCGAGACAGACCGAGGTCACCCAGTTCCCGCTCAGGGCATGGCAAGCCCGCGACTCGCTCCGGTCCCACGGCAGACGGCAGCTTAAACAGACTTACCGCCCGGCGTTACTAACTTGCGGCCCTCAGCTAAGCTCCGTGTATCAAATAATGCACGGCATCGGGGCATCACAACACCTGCAATAATGCCTCACGAAAGCCGTGGAGGGGAGAGCAAGCCAGCACGACGAACCTCGGCAACGGCGGCCAGCTAACCACATCATCCTACTGTTGCTCCGCCTCCTCGCAAGCAGCGGCGGTTTGCCCTCACTGGCCTCCATGACGCACCGTCCCAGGCTGATAGCGCTGGAGCTCCGGCACTCCGGCTTTTTGTCCCTCAAGGACTCCGGTGCTCCGGCGCTCCGTTCCTTGGTTGCGACTCACGGACCATGAACGGACTTGGGGGGGGAGGGGTAATTCGAGTGTCCCTAGCCCCACCCCCTATCCCCGCGATCCGCACCACTGAAAAGGGCAATTCCGGCTTCAATGGCGCCAGCTGGATAATTGCGGCGTTTTAAGAGCCGGACGCAGGGTGTGTGATTTCTCTGAGGACCTCGACGCTGGAATTAACCAGGTCTCGTCACGCATCGTTCGGCTGACGCCGAGGCGACGGTGGACACTTGGAGCAGTGACCAGCCCCCGAGGGGGCGCTGCCAGGTGGGCTGACCTCTTCGGTCACCCAATCAGGAGCCGGCCGAACCACCCCCAACCCAATCACAATAACGACGGTAATTAGGGGTGGCGGGCGTTTTCATTAGGCTGACGTAAGCATGTATCGATTAAGCCAGAGAACGCTGGCGTGCGCCTGAGATTGATGGGGAGGGGCCACGGATAAGACAGAAGACGCCGTATAAAATCTGGATTCTAGAGATGCCAACGTCATCGGGAGCTGCGCGTTTCATTTCATATCCAGGGTGCACTCAGAGAGTGTTAGGCGCAGATCATGCGAGCCGTCTCCCCCCAAAGAAAGTCAAGGATAGTGTGATATAACCGAGGCTGGCACACGCGCGGTGCTCACGAAAACACGACAAGACAGAGATAGTCAGACGGGTTGCTTGAGCAAGCGTGCGCAAAGGCCTGACTTTACATCAATCTTCAAATCAACAAACAACTGTGTCTTTGTCCTCAAAGAATGTGGCAACCTGCGCAAGGCCTGAAGCAGACCATCGATGGCCTTGCATGCCCGAATCATAGCGAAAATTAAGCCATGTCACGCAAGAATTCGTGACTTAGCCCTTATCTGTGACACGTGCAGCAAGTGATGGCTTCGGCAGTGAACAACTTCCCGAGGCATATCAGTTGGGTGGTAATGCCGCCAGTGTAAACCACACAGCGTATGATAACGGCCTTTTGCGTGCCTTGTTTCTGGTCCCCCGTCGCCGAGGTGATGCAAGTGTTATCGATAAGCTTTTCCGAGGCTGCTGATTTCAGACCTCCCTTTTTTAACCTTCAAATGAGAAACGTGCGATCGCAACGAGATGTGTGATGATGCTGCGGCACCCGAGATCAGCTGACTTCGAAGTACATGACAAGCTGTGACCCAATAGGTGTGGTTGGCAGCAAACCCCTCCCGGAAGTCGGCGCCGAGGTCGTCGCTGTCGGCCAGAGCCGTATCGCGCCACCTGAGCTCAGTCACGTCGATAGCAACGGGCAAGTGCGCCGCCCACAGGAAAACGAGCCGGCTTTGACCAGGCCTAACTGGGTTCGGCGGGGTCGGGCCGGGCGGGCAGGGTAGGTTAGTGGTAAAGGCGCCACGCCATCATGGAAGAATGTCGCCCCCGCGTCCGCCCAGCGCTGGCCGCCAGTAATCCGGCACCGTTATAAGCAATGCTTTGTCACTGGTGCAACTTGTGCCTTGAAATCGGCTTTGCAAGTGTGTCCACCTTTCTATTGCATGTCATTAGACACGGTCACACTATTCGGAGTTTAACCTTCTCCGACATTGCTTATGACATACTAACGGTGCACGTGTTAAATGATCGGTTTGTCGTAGCAGGTCATTATCATTCGACATTGTTTTGGATTTATGAAATCTGTGGACAGTTCAGGCAAACGAACAAGCATGTATGCACCCGACATTATTCATCAGTTCTAATCTGAGATATGTCGTTAATGTCAATATGACCTAGTCGAGTTACAGCAGTGCCTAAATTTAATCTCGGCAATCCCCTTGCTCGATATTTTTCAGAGTTAGATCGGAGTACGGATTGTTCGTGCGTCGCAGCGCTGGCCAGCATCTGTCAGACTATCCAAACACATCGAGAAGCCGAACCACTGGATGATTGACACGTCGGGCTGCCGGAGTTTGATCCGAGCCGGGCGGGAGCCGCCGGTCGTCACGGCGACCACCGCAAGTCCTGAGCCGCGCCCTCGGCTTGGCACCGCTGGCATTCTGGCCCGGTGAGGGGCCGGCCGACCGGCCGGCGCCGCTCCGGCGGCCCGAGGTCGACCGCAGGGGAGCGAGCGCCGACAGTGGCGGGACGATAGCCCGCGGCACCGGCGGCCACCGAGTCAGCCGGGCTCGGCTGCAGAAAAGCACAAGGGGGGGGGGGGGGGGGGGGAGCGGAGCAGGTTGGCACGGTCTGTCGGCGCCACGCTCCGGCACCTCCCTCCCCCCCCCCCCCCCCCCACTCGAGGCGTGCCGTGAGGCACGGTGGCAGCTGAGCGCACGGTCGCCACGTCACCGGGCGACGTCAGGGCCCGCTGCTCAGAATGGGGCAACGGCGGACGCTACGCGGAGGGGAGGGCTGTCCGTCACGAGCGAACATCCGAGCGCGTACCGCTGTGCTCGGCTGCCGCACGCGACCGTGACTTTATCCGATGCCGTACGCGCGTCTGCGCCGGTGACGGTCAATTCCCGGCTCTGAAACCGGACACGTAGCCCATTTGTTTTTAGGATTGTTATTGAGAGGTTTGGCCGGCGCAGGGCCTGTCGATCATCTTATCTGACGCTGCACACGTCAGACGTGCGTCCTTGGGCTGAGCGAAGCTGAGACAGCTCCCTCTGCTATACCGGACGTCGGCCATTCAGGAAGTCACAGTCCAGCCACAAACGACGCTGCCAGTAATTTGCAGCGGTAGATGTCTGCTGAGGCCTCGCACCGGCCACGGAAATGGCGTCCTTGTGTGACGGCCTTACGAACGTCATCTACCTGCGGATCTTTGTCTTGCCACTTACGTTAGGTCGTTCGTGTTATTGCTTGGAATTCCAACCATTGTCAATAGGCACGCATAGGATAGACCTTGGTAGTCTTGTAGTCACCGATGACATCAACTCGGTTGTTGCCTTTGCCGTAACTGGTTGCGAGCGTGACTAGCAGTATACGATGGTCTTTCTCAGTATACGGTCGGCACGAAAGGAAAGTGCGCCGATTACAGCAGTATTAAAAAATAATAACTCCGCGACATCAGATGATACGCAACAAACAGTCATAACATTACGTTAATTCAGCACAGTTGTCAATTGTCATGATTACTGCCCACAAAGCAACGCATGTACATTGACAAATTACAGTCACACTGGGTTGCTGCTCCTCTGAGTGGGCATCCCAGCATACCTTTTCTACAGCTGTGGCCCAGGGAGAGCAGTTGAAACAGCTGTTACGCGCCACAAGTCGACAATCAGACCGGCTTTTGTGATGGACACAACGAAGAATATTATAAATGACGTGGCTGTTAGGCCATGCGACGCAGGTGTACCTGTTACACGTGCTATGAGAACTGGCGATAGTTCGCGACGGCAAAGCTTTTGTTTTCCTACAGTGCACAGCAGCGGCATATAGCTAGCAACCACCACGTGTTTGTAAGAATATTCTCTGTGTGCTGTGTGGAATCGACGACAATCGATTGTGCAATGCCGTGAATGCATTGCAAACTGTTTACGCCTCGGAGTAAAGGAAGGTGGAAAAGTGAAAAAGCAAACATCACCACTCGCTCATTATTAGTGACAGCGGTTGCTTGCTTAAGACGTAGGCCAGGCACATAAATGGTACTTCCATGTAACAAAATACCACAAGCTTTTTACAGAATGCACTGTCTCGTGTCTCACTGAGGTCATCCGCGCTATAGCTTAAGATATCAATTACTCCCAGCAGGCACATAAAACAAGTTGACAGTCCTGCAGCCATCGACGGCATCAACACAGATATTGCTTATGTCGTGACTAGTTGGGTGCCACTGCCATACCACAAATGCTATTCCTCAGGTATACGCGGTCGGTATGGCCGAGGAGAGTGGGCCTACACAGCCGCACTACACAGGAGTACACAGCCGCGCTACACGGGAGTACACAGCCGCGCTACACAGGAGCACACGGCCGCGCTACACAGGAGTACGCAGCCGCCCTACACAGGACAGCACTGTGTCACAACGTCTGCAACCCCCACCCACGGAGCCCGGACTAACCTGTAGGCCACGTAGCAGCAGATCGTCCATATGGCCAAGATGAACACGTGGCGACGCATCACCTTGTGCGGCAGTTGCATAGTGTAGCGCATCTTGTGTACTGCAGACCAGTCCCTGCGAAGACGGTGGATGTTTTAATTTTGTACACTCACTGAAAGCTCATCCACATGTCACACCTTCTGTAAACCACAGCGTGTTCTGGCTGGGTGCGCTCACTAAGCCCATGGAATACCGCTTTCACATCAAACCTGCCGCATTGCGGAGTAACAGTATTGCAGACGCCCTAATCCGGAACCCCGCATCAAAACTGGGTGGAAATCAGCAATCAGGCACCGCTGGGTGGTGAACAAAGCACTGGGTGGCGTCTCAAAGTAAGCCGACGGGTCGGCAGTTTGCACCTGGCAGAAGCAATACGAATTGAGAGAGCGGTAGACAAAGAGTCCATCCCTGACGACTCCTCGAGACAAGTTTATGAGTGGGAGTGTGCTGGTGAGGACGGGGTAACCGGCTGGACGGGAGACTCGGCAGAAGGCCGAGAGAATGTCTCCGTCGGGCGCCATTTGTCTCCGGCGCGGCCCGTCATCTGACAGGCCAGTGGCGGACGAAAGTGGTACGGCCGGGCCGCGTGTGGAGCCGACGGTAAATCATTGAAGGCTGATGAGCGATAGCAGACGGTCTCGTTGGTCGCGCTCCGAAGCCGTGAAAAGCGAGGCGGCGCGCCGTGAGAAGTGAGTGTGTTTGTCAAGCCGGCGCGCGGCCGGTGCGCTCTCGAGGCCGGACGGGAGGCAGCGGGCGGCGCCGGCACCTCCGCCCCCTGCAGGGGCCGGCCGAACCAGTTCTGCGGAGCGCCGGCGCGGAGGGAACGTCACATCAAGGCCGGTTCGGCTCCGGGTGCCCGACAGCGGCGGCCGACACGTCAGGCAGTGCAGTCGTGCCCCTTTCCCTTACCCAACACGAGGGGAGCGTTAGGGACCTGGGGCGGATATGGGGACATCAAACTGCACGACATGGCGTGCCTAGCCCAGGTGGGCACTCAGGCGTGACCGCCACTCAGAACCGACTGAGTGAGGGACATGACTGAATTTCCAAAGCACCATGAATACTGCATGCACCCACCAATTTACCGTCATCTGCATTTCGTAGACATATCAAAACACCAGAATGACATGATACGGTCACTATTTGTGGCGAGAAGAGCAAGGGGAAGCCACTTCTCTAGACAGCATTTTGCAAACCCGTCACTTGTCGTCATGCGTTTGCACGCGAGGAGTCCGGTGAGCACAATGCTCCACTCGCACGGGCCGCAAAGGCCGCCATATGACATGTCGGTTTTTATTTCGGCTGTTTAAGCATTCCGGACACTCCACATTGCTGCATTTTAAGAGGCCCCCAAAACTGACTTCGCTTTAGAAACCTTGGCCGTTTCATGCAGCTTTCACTAATCCACAAGACAAAGAAGCCCATTAACTTGGCTAAAGGCCGGATCGCTCTTTGTCCCGTTTTTCAGGCAGCCCTGACCACCTATGCCTCAGATACCCAAGACACGAACTGGCCGGCCACCGTTTTGCGCGGTACCCGGCGAGGGCCCGCCGCCCTGCGCGGTACCCGGTACCCGGCGCCGGCCGCCGTCCTGCGCCGGATCCGATACAGTGACCCAGCGGCCGACTCCCTGTTACAGAACTGGTGCGGGTCCGGTCCTAGACTGTCTCACTGGGTCAGGGTCAGGCCTGCCCTCGCAGGGTTGACCACCCCAGCTTGGTCTGCTGGCCGCGGCCGGCTGGCTGCTGTGTTCTGACTCCTGATAGCATGCATGCCCTCAGTGCACATCCCTCGAGCCCGCGACACTGGCAGTCCAGACCATCCAGAAGCAAGTGAACAGTTGGTGACAGGGCGCCGCAGCTACTAAGACAAATAGTCAGTGCTCTGAGCCACACTGCTTGGCGACAATCACCAGCTGTCTATCACCAACGCTTTCGGGACAGAACGGCCCGACCGGAGGGCAAAACCGGGCCGCCATGGCAATTTTCATGCCGTGCAGTAACCGCGAATATCTGCTGGGGGGGGGGTGGGTGAGTGGGGGGGGGGGGGGGGGGGGGGGGGGGGGGGGGGGCGCTCGATCGCATTTAGCGTCAGCGATGCGAATCGAGAACAATGCTATCAAATGGAGGTGGTTCTGGCACGGCCGATTGTTTGCTTTATCAGCGAGGTGGGAGCAGCTCTTCGGCTCCAATTGTGAAAAGTGGCCTCCGAACTCACCATGCTTCACTGTCCACTCAGTGGGAATGTGGACACAAAGCGATCTCGCTGCAGGGGCGCACTGACAACTGAAACGCTTTGGGACGCCTTGCAACTGACTGGAGCAATCATTTGTATGCCGTGCAGCCAATCACATTGATCTCGCCTGATACCGCAATAAGTCCTGTAATAGCGGAACTTCATAAATTGTATTAAACAACAATTTCTCTTCGCCAAGCCCGCAAGAATTCCAAACTCCTCCACTTTTGTAGACGTCATTTGAAAGTGCTGATCAGCGAGCACTGTTTCTTGCCACCGATGGCTCATCGCTGAGGGCGAATGACCGGCATTCAATGGCAGGGACGGCATTTAATGGCACGGAAACTGGCTCATAGCTCCCTCTCTCACGGCAACTTTCCTCTCTCCTAGAACAAACACCCCTGCGCCCTTCCAGGCGGCGTGAGGTGCTCAAAGGCCGCCTACCACGAGCTTAGACCACAAGCAGGCAAAACGGGCCGACAAGAGGTAGCAAGCCATGCTCCGACTGCCGGCGATTGAGAACGGTCCCCCGGAGACGGGAACGGAAAGGAGGCCTGTTGGTGGTGCAGTCCTGCCGATGGTGGTCCGAAATAGAAAAGGCCTTGCCACTTCACAATACGTAAGGACGGGGAAAAACTGAGAAAATTTAGAACTTTGTGGGACGGCCTATCGACAAAAAGCCAGACCAAAGGCGCAGAGCGGCGAGGCACGCAGGACGCAGGAGCATGCCTCCATGGGTGTAGGCAGACAGCACCCACGCATGCCTCCTGACCTTATGGCCCTGAGTGGCACGGTCCCAGCATGTGGATGCTGAGCCAGGTCCGCTGGCGAGCACTGATCCCGCTAACGCCCGGCGGTGGCTCTGCGCAGTGCGTGCAGTGAAGTACGGGTGTAGTGCGTGATGTCAGCGTGGTGTCAACCACATGGGCTGCTGGGACTCGTCAGTTCTGGGCGAGGACGACATACGTATGCAAAGCGACATCCGGCCCGCTGGCGGCGGCAGGTGGAGGGGGGGGGGGAGGAGGGACCCGTGCGCGGTCATCGGCCCCTGAGGCCGAAGCGGGTGTCACGGTTCACGGAGCCCAGACGGGCGTCAGATCACCACGCTCGCAGGGTCCAGACGGGTGTCACATTACCAACCCAGGACGTGGCGACGGACTATAATGTACCAGCCAGATCCTCGGCGCACCCGGCCCAGACAGCATCGTTCGTCTGGCCGGCGGCAGTGAGCAGCAAAAAGCGCACCCCTGCCGGCCGGCCCGGCGCTCGGGCCCCCGTCGACTGAGACGGACGCGCCAAATATTTGTGCTGGCCCCGCGTCGGTCGGCCTGCTGCAGCCTCCAGATGGCCGGCTGGCCGAGATAGCGTTCGCATTTCGACAGAAGATATCCCAGAGACATGACATTTCCACAAACACGACCGCGCGACCGCTGGCCAGCACGCCGAGCCCACCGTCCAGCGGCACGCAGCGCGCCCAGCTCCCAGCGGCACACGAAGCGCGCGGAGGTCCCCAAGATGCGTGATGCAGCGCGCATGCCAACGAGCTGTGGCGCTGAGGCAGAGACCGTGGGTGACCTGCTGTTGGGAATCTGCTCCGATCGGCTGCGGAGAGTGCCCATCGAAGGGGTCACGACATGGGGCAGTCCTCGACAGAGGCAGCTCACCTTGTCCTTCTCAGCGGTTTGTTGTCTAGCTGGACAGCGGAGCCACCGGCCGTGGCGCCGTCTACAGCGGTGGCATCGGAGGCGACCGCCTCGCGTCTCCTTCCGCAGCACCGGACCTCGCCGACCGTACAACACCTGACGACGCTGCTGGCTGGACTGGCGCTGCCGGGCGCCGGCCGGTCCGCCGGGCCGCGCTCGCCGCGTGACGTCACCGCTGTCGGCGTGACGTCATGCGCCTGGAGGCGACGCCGCCATCAGGTTCAAGGTCTGGGATGGTGCCGCGGCTCGCTTGGGACCGGGTGAGGGTGAATGCGCCCCTCTGTCGCAACTACAGCGGTCCCCGTTGTCGGAGGGCTTCGTCGGTCCTGCAGCCGTCGTGCCAGGACTGCCAGAAAGCGAGTTGGCACCTGCTGGACCCGCATAACTGCCAGGGAACAGTGCGCGACTGGGTGTGGGACGTAACGGAGTTAGTGGCACAGATGACGTTCACTGGTGACCCCCAGTTGAGTCACTCCCCGCCCCGCTTGCTGAAATCGCGCGCAAAAAAATCAACGCAAGTAACGATGAGGGCGTGATCTTTAACGATATTTCCACTTCAGGACCGGCAAGTGGCAGTGTGTGAGGCTCGGTAAGAAGGGCACTGAAGTCTGCCCGGTAGAATATGTAGCAATTCTTCTTTTTTTTAAATGGAACTTGTCACTTGAGAGTGGTGACCATATGCTCAGCCAACTTCACAATCACTGGCTGGTTGCTGGTCCAGGTTGCTGGTCTTAACTCCAGCGCTGAAATGTCCAAAGCCTGCTTTTCATATTTCTGTCGTGCGCGGGCATCAGCACCATCTGCAGGTCACCCACATCCACAGGATATGTGGGTAAGAGCTCCCTTGATCCATTAACCCCGATCAAAATTCAACTGTCTGGCTGGTCGGTCAAAATTAGACCGCCATTGACAATGATCTGACCTGCATCGCCAATTTCTGTGCGATTGCGCCATGATAGCCGGCTTATTGCCGCTGCAGCCCCGGGCTTCTCCGCGTAATCCCTAACTGGGTGAGGGCCGCCACTCAGATGCCTCTGATGCAGATCTGGTGTCAAGGTGGCGCCGCAGTAGTCCCGTCCAGCGACTGTTCAGTTCAACAAAGAAATAGACCACCAGATGATCAGATGCAGGGTGAAGCGGTAGATCATGCAGCGCTTCGCTTAGGATGGCTTGGGTCTCAGCCGCGCACGCCCGCTCCTGACGCACGGGGGTGGGGGGTCAGTGGCGTCCGGGGGTAACCGCGTGTGTGGAACGATCGAGGACTGGAGCAAGGCTGGTCGAAATGAGCATCACTCTGGTGACTAATTCCTCACACCTGGCGTGGGCCCGCGGGAGGCACAGTTAGAGAGGCAGCAAAGTGAGACTGGAAACGAGGACTGAGTTTTGGTGACAGAACATGTGTCGGGGTGACAAGAAACGTGTCACCCCGGAGGACAGGAAACGTGTCACCCCGGAGAAAGGATGCGCAGACTGAGGGAGCGGAGACGCGGCGGGAGTGGTGCGTCGGCGGTGACATAAAGAGTCACATGACATCGCATGACATGACACGGCAGTGTGCCGTGAGAGCGACCGATGTGACATCGCCATCGTCATCACTTCACATCCTCACATCGCATCACATCACGTCATCACCATCACCACTGGTGGCGGTGGCATCACCACCACCACCAGTCGGTCGGTCTGGAAGTGATCTGGGCCAGCCACCGGCGACTGGCTGCTCCATGACGTGCCGGGAGAGCAAGGGTCCGACCACGCACTGGTGTGGCCGCTTGGATCCGCATCCCGGTAACGCTCGGGAGGATTACGCCAGTTTTGCGTTTTCATCGGACTCACGTGGTCAAAGCAGATTGGACTACTGCTACATTCAATGTGAGGAGCGCCTCGCGTGGGAGGGGCGGGGAAGGAACAGCCATTGGAAAGCATGCATAACTGGGGAGTGGCAAACCAACCTGACAGAGCTTGCGGCCGCATCAAACTTGGAGAGGCAACGCGAATGTCTATCAAATCTCCAAAAAAAACCGTCACTCTCCACGTCACGCCATGACTGCGACACTGTCTCTCAACGTTGCTTAACCTTAACAATTACTGGATTAAGGTTAGGTAACGTTATTTAAGGTCACAAGGTTAAAATACGTATTTGACGAATCATGTGATGTGATGCATGTCTGCGGATCACATTTGTGCATGAGGCTCAGAGCAATCACCTAAAACTGGTGCACATTACCGATGTACGCACGTCTATACAACTACCAAGCAGTAAAGTAACATCCGTTCTTAGCTCCAGTTGTGACTCTCCGTGGAGTAGTTGAGCCAACACAACGGCGTGCTTCACGCAAAGGGCACACAGAGGCACACCCGAAAGATGACTCCCCTCCTCTCAGCGCCTCGACATATTGGCGTCCTTTCGTCCAGCTAAGGTGCGCCCGTTGCGGGAAACCTGAACAGGCGCGTCACAAAATCCAAGTATAGCGGCGCCCCTCAGCCCGAGTAAATGATTGGATCCAGATAAAGGCAGGCCAAATCTACGCTGGAGGGACGCTCCCGGCTCTAAGAGTAATGGCGCCCTAGAGATCCGAAAACTCTGCAGAGGGGCAACCCAAGACCAAGTTAAAGAGCTCTCCCACGATTGTAGGCGGGAATCCCAAATCCAACTACATATGCTTCCAAAGCCCGGCGAGAGAGATGCCTCTAAGATCAGGTCGAGGAGCGCCCAAACACGTCTGCACGGAAGCACTCGAAGCCGAGGTATGAGAGCAAGTCAAGTCTGTATGCAGATGAAAGCCTTAAGTCCAGAATAGAGGCTTTCTGATCAATACAGGAGTTTTCTTCATCCAGCCAAGGACCTCCCAAGCCAAAACAGGCATTCACGGCACAGAAAAGATCCTCTTGATGCATATAGAAGCCTCCTGATCAGAACATGCCCTCCAGATCATGACCAGAACAGCTTCCTTCCGATTTATAAAGAAACCTTCAAAGCCAGCAAGGGTCCTCGTTATCCCAAAACAAGATATTTTGATCCGGAACTGCGGTTATCTGAAACACAGGCCCTGCCCAGGTAGGTACACTGGGCGCGCGTGCATCCCCTGGGATGTGGCGTGATCTCCCAGGCTCGCTCCGTGCATACCCTGCATTTAATTTGTATGGGCTTACGACGATTGGATAGAACCCTTCCCTGTCTCGTCATCTGCGTTGTACGATGAGTCAATTTTGGTGCTAGTCTTAAGCCCTGTATCATTTGTGGCATTTTCGTCTTAGGTATTGCTTACGTTTTTGCGTGGACAGAGGTTTCATTTTCACCTTAAAATGTTTGATGAATATAGCCGATAACCAGACGATATTAAAGCGCTTGGATGGCTAGACCGGCAGCAGTCGAATGTACCGCGCTATGCACGATCACTAGATTACGATCAACATTAGATTACGATCAACATTAGATTACGATCAACATTCACATGCGATTTGCAATGTCCGGAGGTGCTTTCAGTTCCGCTCATTAAACGCAGTTATGGGAACGAATTCGGCTTCAGCTTCGGCTGCTCCAAGCGCCGGTTTTTCTTCAATGGTTCCGGGTTTGGCTTCCACTTGTGCCATTTTTCAAGATTGCCTTCGGTCTTTCGCCACTTTCAGCACCTGGCTTCGACTTCAGCTTCAAAATCTGTTTGAGTTATGGGTTCGGCTTATAGCCAGTCCTCTGCTGCGCCCCTGCTCGCCTTGGCCTCATACGACACTGGGCTGCTGTCTTAGATTTCGTCATTGTATTTTTTTCACTGCTGTCGCGACTTTATTTCACACAAAAAAACATATGTGTCTGCCCGGTCATCTCAATATGCCTACCACACATCTTCCATAGCTGTGCCACATGTCTGTAGCCAAACACTAGTCCTCCATTCTCAGGACCCATTGACACTTCACGACGGCCGAGGTACTAATTGTCCGGAACGTAGTGCGTATGCTAGTGCACAAGACGAGGGCGATGTCTGTAACAACTAAGTTATCCGAGATGCTAACACCTCATCTTGATCATTTCATGAGACCCTGAGATAGTTTTTGATTCCCTTAGATGTTTAGAAGACGCGGAAATAGGCTATTTCTCATAACAACGTTGTACACTAAGTTTGGCTTCGGTTCCTCTCTTGTGATTTTTGATTGATGAGTCGGCTCGGGCTTCGTGTTTCTCATGTCCGAAGCTACTGTCTTATGTTCCGCTCGGATTCAATATCAATATTCGGATTCACGTGCTGTAACAGGAGGGTATTAGCTGGAGTAGCTATTGGTGGGATGCATAAGATGCATACGCACACCATACATAAGATGGGAAAATTCATGGGCTGGGAGACTTCCCCCGTTATTGCATTCCTCCTGAGTCCATCGGTACCAGAATTGACGAAATGAAGAAAAAATATAATGATCACATATCGGGCTCAAAGTATCTCTCCAGAAAAATGTCTCTAAAATTTCACAAGTTTGCTTCTGAATACGTGACTACTTCCTGTAACTCCAGGCCCTACCATCGTGCAGAGGAGTTGTTCAGTTTTTATGTTATATCCATTTGATTAATATGCCCAGGCTGGTTGAAATCTAGGCGAGGTTAAGTTTGGACGTTTTTCGAAATGACATCCTCATTTATGATGGCATGAAGAGTAACTTTGCAGGCACTGGGTTTACTTATCGCCTCTCCAGTTGACCGGTATGCGACTTTTGTTATCCATGTGTAGCAAGAACTAAAGCTTTACCAGGTCAGGTCAGATCAGGTCACGATAGGTCATACGCTATTTGTGATGAGCCCCCACTTTGAGCTTGGCCAGGACAATGATTGATTGCAACGGGGTTTCGTAGGCCCGCAGATATGTATCTTATTTCTAATTGGACCCCGTGACGTTTGCGTGGATATCTCCGAGGGCAATTGAATATGCTTAGAGCACATCAAAATACACACCATTGTACTCATAACTTATCAAAAAATAATTTGGTTTGGGTTTGTTGTCGCCACAATGCATGGTCTGTTATTTGTTACGTTGTAAAACTGAACGCGTGCTTCTGGAAAACTTGACCTTTGACCTGGGATAATAGGTCAATTATCGACCTGACAGCATAACTACTAGC